TATTATTCATGACCTATTGGATGGAATGGAAACTTTTTAAATTGGTAGATGACATTAAATAATGATTGGCTAAAAAAATTAGAAGAAAAAAATACACAAATAAAATAATGTTTACAATCTTGAACATTTAGCTGTATCTAACAGATGATGCATCAGAGGAAACATCAAATATATAGATCCATGATTGGGGAAATCAGATTTGACCACCATGCCTATGAGAATAATCTAGGGTTTTTAGTACATTACCAGCCGAACATGAGCAAAAATTATGATGAAATAGCTAATTGGACCAATGCTATTTTGGATTGCATTAACAAAAGCATTACACCTGTGTGATGGGAAATAATGCACACTTATTAGCTTGGAAATCTGCTCCAGGACTGGGCATCAGACATTAAATGAGATTCAGAAAAACAAAAATGAGTTCAGGAGGCAACTCACATGATGATGGATCTAAAAACAGTGGCATATGAAAAATAATTAAAGTAACTGTATACTTAGCTTGCAAAGAGAAGATTAAGGGGAAATATGATAGTTTACAAATAAATCAATTAGACAGCTTTATAAGAGACTGGAGGTGAATTAGATACAATACAATAACAGATGGTTAACAGAGGAATTTGAAGATTGGAGTAATGTTCTTGTTAACCTGTTGACTGTTCTTATATACACTCTGCAGACCTCCCAAAAGCGGCCCATTTTTCACAAAAACGGGCCCTTTTTGTCAAAAACAAAGGGCATGCATAGCCTTTAGGAGGCTTATAGAGTGCTCCTGGAGGGTGGAGGGGGAAAAACAAGCAAAAAATGGCCCATTTTTTGGTCATTTGTGCCCTCCCTAGTCCCCAGGAGCCCTTTATAAGCCTCCTAAAGCCTATGTACAGCCATTTTTGCAAAGGAGGCAGGTTTTTTGGGAGGCAAAAAATGCTGTAATCAGTGCATAAGACGCACTCAGATTTTCACCCTCTTTTTTGAGGGAAAAGGTGTGCCTTATACTTCAAAAAATATGGTGTGTGTGTGTGTGTGTGTGTGTGTGTGTGTGTGTGTGTGTTTAGATTTTTTCTGTATGTTCAACATTAGCTCTTTATGATGTTTGGATTATTGTTTTCCTTTTTTGTACACATTTTTGTCGTTGTTACCGTTGGATGAATGTTTTTCTGTTTTCTCTGTTTTGTATTTTATTCCTGTTGATAAAACATCATCACCATCATTTTAGCCATTATCTATCCACTGCAGGATGAAACCTCTTCCTTATGTTTCCAATCAATATAATTCTGAGTCCTTTCTTTTACCAATTGGGCCCACAATATTTGTGGATGTCATCAATCCATCTTGTTTATATATATTGAAAAGACATCCTTAGGTCATTTGTTAAAATAACAAATGTGGGATATGAATAAATAAATAAACTCTTTTCCATGGTGGGAGAAACCATCTTCTTCACCAATGCAGAATTCCATTGCAGTATAACCAATATGTTGGTTTTGCTAGTTTTGAGCTCTGACAATGAAAAACATAAAGAAGAGTGTATCATAGACCAATACTTCCCCTGATTCAAAGAGAAAGGAGACAATCTGAGATTTTGTCTAGTGACTAAGAATCTCCAGTTATTGTAGAGATATAGAATGATTCAATTTTACATCCTTTTTTATGTGCCCCATCTTCTGCCCCAGTGGCTCCATCACTCACAGTTCTGCCACCTGCTTTCCCACAATGAGATTGAGCTCTTAGCTCCATGTCAGCGAGTGAAATTAAATATTGATCAGTATAAGCCTCTTCTCCAAAAAAGGTGAAAAAATCTTACCAATTGCTTTGATCAGCATTCGTCTTCTCTTGATTGGTTGCATTAAAATGTTGTATAAAGAGATGGCAAATGTGTTTTATTTGCCACCTCTTTATATATTAATCTCACTTTTATTGTCTGTATAAATAATCCAGAAAGGTGAGCATACACAATACTTCTTCCACCTCCCATTTTCTCTACAGCAGCCCTGTGAGATGAATTGGGCTGAATGTGCATGACTGAACCAAAGTCACAATATCGCATCGACCTCAGATTTTTAAATTTTTATTTTATTCAGTGCATTTTTATCTTAATAGGAAACTTGTATGGTTCATTTAAATGATTCCAAGTGTTGTTGATTCTGTTCATACTACAAAAGCAGCTGGAAAATTAATTGTATCAAAATCAATATTATCTGCAGGATCAATATCATTATCAAGCTCAATGGGGCTGAACTCAACATAGCTCTCAGTAAAGACATGACCATTACTTCTAATTAGAGATGCAGGCGTCACATATGTAATAAATAAGTCACATAATTTTTCCACAAGCAAGCCACATCCATACTTTTAATGTGTTTTCTGCTATATCATCTACACCTGCAGTTTTTACCATTTTTTCAATATTTCCCCAGTATTTATGACTTCCTTTTCATTCATATGCACAAATATTTAAAACATCCATTTCACTTCTACTCCTCAAAATATAACTGTTGTTTACATAAAAATCTCTTCAGCTAGCCCAGCATGCTTTTCTCATTTTAGTTTCAGCTCAAATAATTTCACTGGTTTTATATTTAATCCCATTACTTTCATTCTGATGAAGATTCCTTGGTTAGCTCTGATCGCTCACAAGATTTTTACCTTCATCAATGTGAGTTTCCCTTTTCATTTAAATTTTAACAATTCCTTCTTCTCTTTGACTAAAGACCATGCAGCTACCCTTCTCTCTTAGCTACAGCTTTCATCCTCATTTCTGCAACATTCTGTTACGTGCATTTTCCAGATCCACCACGTTTTTCACTTCATCATCCCACCCATTTTTTACATAGTGATCATTAGAGTAAGTCTTCATATTTCTGCGATCCTCTATAACACAATTCTTTTCATTCTGTTCTACACAGTATTCACATTTTCCTCCTTGTTAACATATGTTCATTCTCCTGGAAGTTTAATCTATCTTTTTTTCCCCTTACATAATTTGTATTTTCTTTTCCCACAGGTTTTTACTTCAACTCTAGGATCTTTTACTACTTTCTTTCCTATGTCTTTTTTTTTCTTTTTTAAAAGAAGCATTTATGAAACTAATGAAAACTGGTCTGCCCCTCATTTGGAGCCATTCATTATTCTTGTATCCTTCACTACTTTTCTCAATTTCTCATTATAAAATCATAATTAAATCTATTATGATTTTAAGGTAATATTTTTCACATAAGTATGTATGAATAAATGGTGTTATGTATCAGAAAGAAACAGAACTTCTTCTAAGCAAATTTTAATTACTGTTTTCATTCATTCTTCAGCTTTCAAGAGTAACCCAAACTTTTTCTGTATTCTTTCATTATCTTCTTTTCACCCGTTCAATCATGTCACCTCAGAGAATAATATTTTCCTCTGAATCACATCCATTCTAAAGGTCTAAAACTCCTCTGTAGTTTTTCAGTCATCACCAAACTATAAATTCCTGTTTTCATACATACTCATAGCAATCGAAGCCCTTTTATTCATAATTAAATGTATATCTTTATTTTCCTGCAAGTATTTACCAATTCTACTCAGATCAGTTTATATTATATATAAAATATTATATCATTTATCTTATTTTCATTAAAAAACATAACAATGTTTTCTTTTTTTATTTCATTTGTATTCCTTAGCATTTACTTTTTTAAATTCTGAATTGGACTTTCCTTATACAGGTAATCCTTGACTTACAACAGTTCATTGAATGACTTTTTAAAATTACAACAGCACTAAAAAAAGCGACTTATGACCATTTCGCCCACTTATGACTATTGCAGCATCACCATGGTGATGTGATTTACATTTGTATGCTTGACTCACATTTATGATGGTTGCAGCATCCCAAGGTCTTGCAATCACCTTTTTCAACCTTCTGACAAGCAAAGTCAATGGGGAAGCCAACTCACTTAACTAATGTGGTGAGAACAGTTGCAAAATGGGGCAAAACTCACTTAACCAATGTTTCACTTAGCAACAGAAATTTTGGGGTCAATTGTGGTCGCAAGTTGAGGGCTACCTCTACCATGTTCATCACAGATGGGCCCCTAAAATTGACTTCCACTGCCCAATATGGCTTTGGTCATTCAAGGATTTTACATAATGCATTTTTGATAAGGGCAGGATAGACTGTAGCACCAGCCTTAGTATCTGTGTGCCATATGGGGCATTTCCTACTAATGGTAAAGGTAAGACTGATACATTCAGGCACATGTAGGCCAAATTCAACAAGTGCAACCAAATCTTAGTTTTACCACATAAATGATCACCCTATTCCAAGCAAGTTAGTATATTTGCATACTTTTGTTCACATCCCAGCAACTTGGATGGGTGGCAAACATATTGACATATATTCAGGATGCCTCTTTGAACCTAGCTTAAGAATATTATTTGATTCATGTTTTCTAGAACAGGTATTATGAGTCATAGTGAAATGTCATGTTGTGGGGATTTTTTAAATTCCTTTGAACTATCAGATGGGTCTTGAGATTGGCAATAAGCTGTCAGCACTCTCAAGCACATTATTAAAGAAACGTGAGTGTATGGTTTCACTCCTATCCACCGAACATTGGAGGTCCTTGACTCATAGTTGTGCCAGTGATAAATATCTCAAGGTTTTGTTCTAGTTTCTATTAAGTAGCTTAGAAAGTTTTAATATGAAAGTATTGTCTACTGCAGGTTAAAAAGTTGGCTGTGTCAGCAGTTTTGATGAAAACTGCTTACCCTGATTCCATGATTTTATTTTTCAAATACTAGGCCTATATTGTGAACCATTTTACCTGCTGTTTTTCCCCCCATTTCTGCATTACTTTAAAGATAATTTTCCAGGACTTGAATCAGGCTAGAAAGTATGCAGAGAATGTTTGTTTGTTTGTTTATTAAAGGCTGCCCATCAAAGGTGTGACCTCCTTCATTCATCATAAACATTGCGCTTTGGGAAATTTGTTTTCTAACTCCTCAAGTATTATTTTCTTCTGTAGGTGAAAAACATCCTAACTTTGAAGTGAATTACAGCCATGGCTTTTTATATGAAAAGGAGAGAGAGGCTATGCTGCCAGGGTGCATGGCAGAGCAAGCCTTCAGCAATGCCATTGGCTATCTTGGTGCAGAACCAGCACGCTCACTTGTGCAGACCTCAGCTGCTCCAACTTCAGAGATGGTGCCTGTTATCAGCAGTCTGTACCCTCTTACATTCACTCACACTGAAATGCCCAATAACAACCCACTGAAAATGGAAAGGAGTGACATCCAACCGAGAGACAAGATACCTACTGAGCAAGGCCTTTCTCCAAACAATAGTGGTCAAAATTCTACAGATTCAGATAACATTCAAGAAGAGAACCAGAATCATGCCTACCTTCAAAATCAAATGGTTCCTCCTCCTTTGCAGGCCAGGAATGGACTGCTGACTTTCAAGGAAAACCCTAGATCATATGACATGTTCAGGCAATCAACCATTTGTCCTTGTGATGTCTTGAAAGTTTTCAACAAAGAAGGTGAACCCGTTGGATTCTTTCGATGTGATCATTGCCGTGTTCTTTTCTTGGATTATGTTATGTTCACTATCCATATGGGATGTCATGGTTTTCGTGACCCTTTTGAATGTAACATGTGTGGGTTCAGGAGCCATGACAAATATGAGTTCTCCTCCCACATAATTCGGGGTGAACACAGAGTAGGTATGATATGAGAGCAAAATTACTCTATTCTTTTCTGAGACACTCTGTATTGCAAAAATCAGCCAGTTTTTGAAGTAGAGTTAAATATTGAGTTTTCTCAAGAAGATAAAGCAAAACAAATCTGATCACGAATGTATGAATGGGTATTTTTATGAAATTCACATAAAGAACTAAAGTGTTGAACATTCTTTGATCAGGAACTGAGAAGGTTAAACATTATACTTTCTAACACAGGCAACATAATAAGATCTTTTTTTAAAACAAAGATCTCCTTAAATTCTGAAGTTTTTAGAAAAACTGGTTTATTTTTCAGTGATTCTCTGCTTTTTAACATTTTATTAACAATGTACTAATTTTTGGCCCAACCATCTTTTGTCTAGTTAAACATCTTTTGCATGTCTTGTGGCAAAGCATTTACTGTATTATAGTGCTACCTAACTCCAGCAGATCTTACTGCCTTATTTTACTACATGCTTTTTAATGAAAACAAAAGCTTCTTCAATACTAGACTTCTATTAAGCTGTCAAACTGCCTTATTCAGAATTCTACTAGATGTCCAAATGACATCACCTTCTATTTCTAACCATCTTGTCTCAGAATTGCAATAAAGAAAAAAACCTCCCAAATCGCTCCACAATGTCTTTCAGCAGCACTCTGGAAACACATAATGATGATATATAGAAAGGAATAATGACAAAACTAATGGTTTTTCTTACAGGAAGAAATTACAATTTAGCAAACATATAGAACTCATGTGATTAAGACCTAAGGAATGCCAACAAGAAGGAAAATTTTAAAATATGGAAACCTGTGACTGAATTAGAATCTAAATCATTATGAACCCAAAGTGCTGAACATGTAACTCATTGCCATCTTTAGTATTAAAAGTAGGTTTAGGGATAGTGCTATAGGATTGGCATAATCATGTTTTGGACATCTAAGTGAATGTACACGTTTATGTGAACATTGGATAAAGATTTGTAGGGGAAGAATTTAAGAATTTCTTATACATGCCATTCTTTGATTCATGCACTGTAATATTTAGTCAATAGATATTTGAAATCATGTGTTATAAGGATATTTGTCAAATTTTCTGGGAATGCCTTTAGCTTTTGTTGACTATTGAGTACTGAACACAAGATGGGTAGCTAGGATTTGTTGTTTTTCTAGGAATGAAGTTATCCTCTGTAATATTAGTATTCCAATCCAAAAGCGGCATCACGTGGACAATAATAGCCTGCTAGCTATAAAACCAAACCAAGCAGAAGACAATTTTGTTTTTTTCTGTCCTTCAAGATAAACTCCAGATTTGATGAAGAGGGAAGATTGGGGGGTGGGGGTGGAGTGGGGGTGAAGACATGCCACCACATTTCAATGAAATATGTTTCAATGAAATGTCAATGTTTCTTCTGAGCAAAATAGTATAGGAATTTTGAAGGGATATTGAGATATAATGAACAGCAAAATCTTTCAATGGTGAATAGGGGGAAAATCCAACACATGCTAAGAAATTTTGCTCAGCATCAGCTTTCAAAATCTAGATTTTCTTTTCCTTCAAAGAATTCTTAAGAAAAAAAAAAGGACGTTTCTATACAGCTAGCGAAATTACTCAGGCCAGTGGGGAAAAATTTGCATTACTGTGCTAGTAACTTTTTACTGAAGTTTGCTTAGTCTCCTTTCATTTTAATACTTCCGGAAGAAGAAGTCTTTCTCTTACCTAGTAAACAAAAAAAAATCTACTATTATTATCCAAATAGATTTAATATTATCATGTAATAGCTAAATCTTAATTCTAATATATGGTAATATTGTGTATAAACACTGCTGCTTCAACTATTGGCTGCTTAGAACTCTTCCCTAGAAAAAGTGGGTGGAAAGTTTTGACTTTAAACATAAATCTCTACTGTGTTTAGTTTATATTGTAAATCGCTTGTTTTAATGTCTTTTCCATGTAAATTAATAGATATAATTTTAATACAATGTGATTTTCAATATACATGGCTCTGATTATTTTACTTTATTGTTATTTTTGGTCTAGATTAGAAATTATAAACCGTCTTTGTAATCCAGTAGAAACAGCTTGTTAATACTTCATCTAAGTTGAGAACTAAGAAACCTAATAACAGTGGGATCAAAAGGCACGTTCTGTTACAGTCAAATTGCCCTCCACTCACTCCACCCACAAAATCTTTTAGGAACAAATAGCAATGTGGACAATAAAGACATAAAAATTTTTAATTGCAAAGGAAATAGGAGGCCAAATTCTCTCTCTGAGGGATCCTCCCCTATCACATTCATTTTCCATGAAAAAAAATGCTACCCTTATTTGACAAATGCTGATTTACTACTTTCAGATTTATTATGCTAGTAATCAATCATTGCAATATTTTTTCCTATCTCAAGGATATGTTGCATATGAGAAAAATACTATATGGGAACAAAGTAGCAGCAAATTCAGAAAACCATTTCACAAGTCTTTATTATCCTTGGCATAGGACTCATTATACTTAAGCACACAATTTCTCAATGTAGGAACTCTATTGGGTCAATTTAGTCCAAGTTGCTGTTTCAAGTAGAAGCTAACCAAGTCGATTGCTTAAACTACCAAAGTGGGAAGCCGAAGCCCTCAGATCTCCTCTACTAGAACTCCTTGGGTTTTCAACTCTGGCCCCAATTTCTGCTTTCTTCATTTCTATTGCCACCATCTATCTTCCGGAGGGGGCATTTTATCTGTTTCTCATTTGATAACCAACATACGGTAGAACTAGGTCATTTATGATAATTAAAAGATAAAAACAAATTGAAATAATAATACCCTTCTATTGGGAGTGATAGACCAATCAATGAACAAAATTAGCCTTTATTTTTAAAAAAAGAAAACAGATAAAATATGTCAATCTCTTATTAACTTTTAAAATTTATTTTAAAATATATTCGGGGAGAAGAGATTCTAGTACAAAGTGACCAACTCAGGTCAACCATTTTCTGAGGAATTAAAAAAGGGAGGAAAAGATAATAAAATATCAGGCAAGCCACAAGATGGCACTGGTTTTCTAGAAATGAAAATTTTCATTACTCAAGAAAGGAGGCATTTTAAAACAATTTTATAGAAAAATATAACTATATAAACAGTCATGACAATTGAATAAAAGGTTAACATTTGGTCTAGTTTGGTTAAGAGAGCAGGCTGAAAACCAAGAAACTGTCAATTCTAATCCTGCCTTAGACATCAAACTGTTTGGGTGACTTGTGCCCAATTCACCTCACAGGCTAGTTGTGGGGAAAGTAGGAGGACAAAGGAACATTAGGCATATATTTGGTGCCTTGAATTATTTACAAATAATAATAATAATGGGATAACATATCTAAAATAAAATTTTAAAAATAAAGATCCACATATTGTCTTAAATTTTACAGAAAATTCCATTGCACAAATGGAAATAAAAAATTGTAGTGCTGTTTCCTAGCTATTAACTATTTCCATAAAAGTAAGACATTTTTCTGAAGCAAAAGTACTCTGCTTTCTTTCCTGAACTTCCTCAGCTTCTAATAAATTCCAGGAACTATTCAGAGGTCACTGAGCAGGATGATGGGATCCTGTTTTTTCCCCTCAGATGCTGTTCCCAGGCTCTCCCCAACTTCAATTGCTTTTTATTATTTAAACAATAAATGTGATTTCCTTAGAGCAGTGTTTCTCAATATTGGCAATTTCAAGATATACCGTACGGACTTTAAACTTGCTGGCTGCGGAATTCTGGAAGTTGAAGTTCACATACCCTAAAATTGCCAAGATTAAGAAACATTAGCATAGAAGAAAGGGTAGAAATAATATGTCTCTGCAAGGGACAAGAACAATGTCTCATTTGAGTGAATGTGCTTCTTTCATATATGGATTGTCCTCTTGCAATAAAGTTCTGTCAGTGGTCGGATTCAAATAATTTAACAACTGGTTCTCTGCCCTAATGACCAGCTGGGTAGGAATGGCTTGGTGGTCATGTGACCATGTGGGCGTGACCAATTCAACGTCATTCAGGTCAATGGGCGCTTCACCTTAGCTGTTACAATGTAACAGGGGTTAACCAGAGAGGCAGTTTCTGTAAGCAGGGCAATAAAGATTAGGCTAGAAACAACACCAGAATGTTTCCTTCCTGCCTTCCTTAGAGGATTAGCCCTGTAAAGTGGAAAAAAACAAAACAAGATTTCTTCCAACAACCGGTTTTCCGTACTGCTTAGAAAGTTAACAACCAGTTCTCCTGAATAGGTGCGAACTGGCTGAATCCCACCACTGGTTCTGATACACTAAGCTTCCATAGATGCTGTAACCTCTCTTGAGAGGATTCTGGTTAGCACATTAAGAAGGTGTTTATTGGAGACAAACTGATCAAAGCTGGAACTCCTCTAAATGAATGACTATTGTACAACTTGTGGTATGGAAAATACAAAATTAAAGGATTGGATTACGTCTGTCTTAAATTTATTGTCAAACAATAATTCTAGTCTTATGACAGTGACATATTAATGCTTTAAACATTTTACTAGGAACCTAGGCCAGAGTTCCCCAATCTTTCCAGTTTTGTGGACTAACGGCTGGGGAGGGATGGTTCCATAAAAGCGGTGGGCAAGCATGCACATATGCCCAGCAACATTTGCATGAGAGTGTGTCCATGTGCCCACTGCTCATGCAAATGATGATGCGCAAATGTTTGTCCACCTTCTACCTCCACAGCCCAGTTCCAACAGCTCAAGGCCAGTAGTGGTTCATTCCCCGGGGATTTGGGACCCCTGATCTAGGCCAATTCCTTACTTGTGAGAAAATATTACACATTATCTTTTGTGGGCCTTGGAAATTTCAAAGGCTGAAATAGGCATGCTGCTGAGAATTAACAGATACTTTCCAAACCCTATTGAAATGAAATATTTTAAACCTAGTTTGAGTCTGATGTCTTCCATATGATTGGACTATAGTCCACTAAATTCCATTCAAATCATTGGCTCTGTTGGCAGTATGCTGAAGTCTCATCAAAACAATGAAACATTTTACTAAAGATAAATTTCAGCCAACATGTAAAAATGTGCTATCCTTCAGAGCATTGAACTAATTAACATCCAAGATAGCAGAGCTTTGATTAAAAATGTCAAGTATCCAAGCATGATTCCAGCTTAATTGGAGTGCAGTGAAGCAGTTGTCTCTTTTGTGGTAACTGCTACATCTCAGAAGGCTGATGCTCCTGCTTAGGGAAGCAACGAGTAACTCAGAGGAAAAAAGCTGGAAATTTTACAGCAAGGGATAACTAGAAGCAATAAACTTTTTTAGAAGACCCTCAAGATTGTATGGTTGGTGTTTGTTATTTTTAGATGAAGTTTCCTTTATGTTTGTCAGATTGTTTAATCTTTGGAACTGTGATATTTGCTAATATTAGAAAACTTAGTTAATCAGAGTGTTATTAAAAGTGAGGGGGAGAATGCAGAAATAGCACTTCAAATCTAGGAGAAACAGCAGCCAGAAAAAAGGAATGGTTTAGAAAGCAGAGAGAAAGACAAAAGTGTGAGTGGCATGTATAA